CGCGGTTCTCGCAATCTAAGCGCATGCTCGAAACTTCGATAAATATTAATCGTCGGAAAAAAGCGTTTTTTGCAGGTGTAGTAATTGCATTGAAGGTAGACGAAAAACGAGAAAACGAGAAGCAGCTTACATTTTAGTAACACGAAAGCTACCGTCGTTCGGCTCGCACGATAAACCGTGCCACTGAATAGGGAGGCACGGATCTCCCGACCAAGTTCGCAAAATTTCGTTATCTCGATTGTACGTAAGTAGCTCGTATCTTACTTTGGTAATCGTATTCACTGAAAAAAGATAGACGATGAAAAATCTTAGTCATCAAAACGATTATGCATTCGAAGTGTTTAATTATATTTACCTTCGTCGACACCCGTCTCTTCGTTTCTTGGATACGATTGAAAAATCTCGTAAGCGTTACAGATTGGTCCGAACCGAGAAGTCGAGGCCTTGACCAACGTGAGATTAAGGACTCCATTCGCGGCGAAGTTCAAAACAACCGTACTGTAGTTTTTCCCGCTTGCCAATATATCGACTTCTTGTCGTTTTTCGTTATTGATGTACACATCGAACACCCTCTGCCCAGCTCGAAAGATGGAGTCGTCGAGCTCGAGAAAGTGGAGGTAGAGACTGTAATCGTACGTTCCCGGATCGAGATTTTCGTACTTGAAAACTAATTGTTCGGGATGGGTTAGAGCTGTTTGTAATACTCGGAGAGGGGGCAGTATGCTGTTTGCGTCGGTGAAATCCATATTATCGGCTGTGGGCAGTGATAAGTAACTAGCTGTTGAATCGGGATGTGAATCTTGTCTCCATATTCGATCGTACGGGTCCGAACGGTACCTGAATCAAAAGCATGCGGTGAAATTAACCTATGCTCGAATCTCGATCGGTCTTTACATGGATAAACGCGCGGTTTTTCCTCTAGTTAAGAAAATATACCTGATTTCAGCTGCTTTGTTTCCTGCATCGACCCGATCAACGAGTTTGAGCACGCTCGAAGGATACGTCGTGAGGTAATCGGGATGCAAAGGTCGTAACTCGAGCTTCGAAAGGTACGCTTCCCCTTTGCCTTTCACTAAGCAGAAATTAGTGTAGTTATTAGTCGCTCGGAATACTCCCTCGACATTCGATTTACTCACGAAACTAACTCTCTCTATCTCCGTCGCACCAATCGAAACATTGAAAAAGTTATCGGGGGGCGACGCCTGCAGATTGCTGAGCGGGAATATTCCTCGGATTAGGTAGACCCCACCGCTATTTGTCGGCAAATCGTAACACCATTTGCTTTTGTCGTACTGCGAGTTAAAGAATCTCGCCTCGTTGGTTTCTTGATTCTTACTTCCTGTCCAGATCGTGTCCTGGCACGTTCGTTTATCGGGGTACCACGTTTCGTCCGATACGTAAGTGATCGTGGTATTCGTGTCGGTTGACGTAGCATCGGCGCAGCACTGTATGCTGATAAATCCAGCTGCAAAAATCATGCCACCAAAAAAAAAAAAGTTAAGCTTCATTTGCAATTATATGTATTTTAACAAATCCTCTGAAATAATTGCTAAAATTATTTAAATGTCATTTTTTTTCTTTCTAAATTTTCTCTATTTATTATTTGGTTTTGAGGCAATTAAAGTAAAAAAAAAAAAAAAAAAACGTACCTTGTTGTGCAAAATTGGATTGAATGTAAAAACATATGAAAATAATGCAACAGGTGATCAGCCTTCTTATTACACTATCCAACCCTTCCATCATCCTATAATCATCGCAGAAAATCGCCCCATATCCCGTTTTCTCGACGATCATAAACGAAAAATCAAGAAAAAAACATGATTTCTCCCGAGAATTCAGATTATTTTTTTTCGAGTTTCTTCGGGAGAATTGAAATATTCCTTAAGGAGACAAAACGGCATCAAAATGAAAACGCAAACTCGTAGAAAACTCCGATACGATTCCCGGTTTGACTTTTACAGGTTGGTACTACTGAAACATTGAAATGAGGTTAGTGATAAACAATTTTCTAATCACAAAAGATTATTAATCTAATCACCAAGGTTCCAACCAACTCCCTATGATTAATATCATCTTGTTTGTTTTTGTGTACTTGATACTTTTTTATTAGTATTATTCAAATTTTATATGAAATAAAATAAAATAATGGGGCGGAGCAACCATTTACTTATATAATCGACTAGTTTTTCTATCTTTGTCTTAACTCCGTCCTAGCCTTTGTCCATTACCTCCGAAGCTACATCCACGAAACGGGATTAGCATTTAAATAATCGCTTGTCGAGCATGATTTGCAATCAATCGTGTTTGAGGACAAATACGTCACTCTATACTTTCTCTATCATTAGTTTCGAATTGCTAAGCCGAGTTATATTTAGTAATTTTAACGCAACACAAAATGAAATATCACTGGCATCTTTTAATAATATAATTATGAACATACCCTGACCGATTATTCTTAAAACGAGGTACATTTTGACTTCGGGTTTTTTTTTTTCTTTGGAAAATATAATAAGATATCGGCCAGAAGAAGAATTTAAGTGCAATAATGTTCAACCGGAGACATTTGGCAATGTTTAGTTTTTTTGCTAAATTTTAAAATAAACGAAAACTCACGTCGAAACGATTGGTATATGGGAAACATGTTTAAAGTCAAGATTCATATACTAATACAAATATATTATTTGACTTGAACTCAGCAACATTGCTAACTTGACAAGAAGAATCGAATTCCGACAACCTACACTGCAGCAGATCAATTCTTCCTGATTTATCGACAGCCAGACGTCACAAAAATTATGTTTTTTATGCCATCTTTCTATTCAACTGCTATTCGTTAAGGTTGCATTTCGATTTGAGGATTCGGATTCGACAAAGAATGGGAGAATGATCTAAAATGATTTCATAAAAAGTGAAATTTCCAATATGTTAGAGATTCGTGCGTTATCAGTCATTCTAAAACCAATCGATGATAAAAAAAAATATATATATATATATATATACATACCTCAATTTTATAGTGCATTTAGCACACATAAGGGCCACAAATTTGGATTATGATTCGACCCACTCGTAAACGAGTTAATTGGTGACTCGCTCTAATCTAAGTTTATGAAAGAATTTATGTTCTACTTGACCAGTTGCAACTTGCAAGCCATATTTTTTTTCAATTCAGACAAATTGAGCATATATACTGCAGGAGAAAAAACAAAAAAAAAAAAAAAAGGTAAAATTATGAAAAAAACACTCATGTTTGGATAATTACAACAACTCTCCTCAATTATGAATTTTCTTACACCTCCACTCTGATGGTGTCAAATTCAACATAATCTTCTAGATTCCATGGAATGTTCTCTAGTTTGTACTCATTTTGTGCGCAAAAAAATACAGCTTATGATGCACCACAATCTGATATATACAAACCAAAAAACACATCTTATGATCATCTTGTTTCAAATATGGAGCTCGGATGAGATAAAAGAGGTACAAAATTGAGAAATATTCCACATAATCTAGAAGATTCAACTAAATTCGACACCGCAAGGGGTGGACGTGCAAGAAGATTTATAGTTGAGGGGTGGTCGTAATTACCCAAACATGAACGGTTTTTTCATAATTTAACCATAGATCAGGGGGTTGGATGTAATTTACCCATGAAATATTTGCCTCGCACGGCGTCGTTTCTGGGGAACTCCCAACTCCGGTCCGAAGGGGTTTAAAAGGGGTTTAAAGGAGTCAATGATACGACGCCGTATACTTTCGAAACGACACCGTTTAACTGTCGAAAATATCATTATCCAACGTATCGTTTCTGCAACAGAAGTGAAGGAAAGAGGAATAGTAACCATGGCTTCTAAAATCTCATCAGTCCTCAGCTCCACACTCTTCTCCTTCTGCACCACAGAATCAATCCTTCTCGATTCTTCTAAATCACCCGCCTTTTTCCCTTTCCCTCCCAATTTCCGCGCCGCCGCCGCCGCCGCAAAATCGAGAAGACCCATGGGTGAGTAGTACTGATTCCGAATTCCGCCATTGTTGTTGTTTCTTACCCACTCAACCTTTTATTGTTTAAGCTGTTTTATTTTTTTTTCCCCCAATTTTATTGGTGTTTGATGTCTCGAATCAGGGGTTTTGGCTAGTAGTAGCGCTGCTGCTCCGCCACAATCGGAGGTTGAAGTTGAGATTGCGGATGGGTACACGATAACCAAATTCTGCGATAAGATGATCGATTTTTTCATGAACGAGAAGCCCAAGTCTAGAGATTGGAAACGGTACTTGATTTTCAGAGATGATTGGGGCAAGTATCGCGACAGATTCTACCACCGTTGTAAAATTCTCGCCGATTCCGAAACCGATCCCCAGATGAAGCAAAAATTGCTCGACTTGTCCAGAAAAGTCAGAAAGGTATTTTGTATGTTTTAATTAATTCGACTAATTTGTGTTTCAATACGAATATTTCTTTTTTTCTTCGTACTGAATTTGTATGAATTTTTTAAATAAAAAAGAGTTTTATTTATCATAGGGATATTTTGATCATTGCAGATTGACGAAGAAATGACGAAGCATGGCGAACTTTTCAAAGAGATACAGGATAGTCCGATGGATATAAACGCTATTGTGGCAAAGAGACGAAGGGATTTCACAGGGGACTTCTTTCGCCACCTCACTTTGCTCTCCGAAACCTACGACAGTTTGGAAGATCGAGATGGTAACGTTTCTTTCAATGTATCAAATCTTACCCAACTAACAGATTCAATGCATATTTCAATAATTTGTGGAGTTACAATACGGTGAAACTTGAATAAAAGAATTCCATGCAAAAATAAGAGATAAACTTGTGTTCGTTTCATCGGGCAGGGCTTGCTCGTCTGGGAGCCAGATGCTTATCTGCAGTCAGTGCTTTCGACAACACTTTGGATATTGTGGATACTTTAGACACTGCCCAGGAGAAGTTTGACGAAATCTTGAATTCTCCTTCAGTAGATGCTGCGTGTGATAAGATTAAAAGCCTAGCCAAGTCAAAGGAGCTCGATTCTTCTTTGATTCTGTTGATAAACGGTGCTTGGGCTTCTGCAAAGGATTCTTCTACCATTAAAAACGAGGTATCAATTTCTTTTTCTCCTCCGAAAAAAATAAAATTAGAAACATATGTTCCACAATCGGTAAAGCTTATCGGTTAATATGGAAGATGACAGTAAGGCCTCGTTTGGTTGGTAAGATAAGACATGATTAATTAAATAATTAGGTTTTATGTGATGTTTGGTTGGTGCAGCAACTTTTTGGGTCGTCCCACAATTATCGAATTGAGCTATTATACAATTGGGTTCTCATTAGATTGCATAATCTTGTCTTGGTTAATTTTATCTTGTGACCAAAAGAGAATATGTGTTATGTTTAAAAACCTGCAAAATGACTTAGGCGTCGTTTGGTTGCTATCATAAGATTATCCAAGATAAAATTAAATAATCTAATGAAAAGTTGAAAACCCAATTGTATTATTCGACTATTGGAAGGTCCAATAAATAATCTTTCTAAGTTAGATCATGATAAAATAATGTTTCCGAGTCAATCCGGAAAACTATTGGGTTTACCAAACATTAAACAAAGTCCAATTATTTGATTAATCATGGTTAATCTCTCCAACCAAACGAGGCGTTATTGTGTTGTACGACTTTCCCATTTGCTCGAGAATTTGGTTGATATTTTTCAAACCATTAAAAAGCAAGCCAAGTTTGTTTTGCAGGTGAAAGATATAATGTACCGTTTATACAAGGCAACTCAAAGTAGTTTGAGAAGTATCGCACCGAAAGAAATCAAACTGCTCAAATATTTGCTGAACATAACGGACCCGGAAGAACGATTTTCAGCATTAGCCACTGCATTCTGCCCAGGCGACAATCCTAATAATGTCAAAGAATCAAATGCTATATACACGTAATAATAATTTAATTTATTTCTTTATTACAAATTGTTCAATGCTTGTGAATTTATATCGAGGATCAATTTCTATCCATCTGACGTGGCAGAACACCGAAGGAGCTGCACAAGTGGATCAAGATAATGCTCGACGCGTATAATCTGAGTAAAGAAGAGAGCGAAATTAGGGAAGCCAGGAAATTGAGTCAACCCGTTGTCATACAGAGACTTTTCATCCTTAAAGAAACCATCGAAGTGGAGTATTTGGAGCAGAGCACCAAAACAGAGACACGAGAAGAGGATGACGTAGACGAATCGGGAGATATTTTTTCTCATCAACCGACTCTGTGAGAGCTACTAAACCTAGTTTCTTTTTTCTTTCTTCCGGGCTCGTAAAACCCATTTTAGAACTTCCAGTAGAATTAATTAGTCTGTCGTCTATACTCTATAGTGTGAAGTTGAAGCAAGCAAAATCTCGTCTCATAATTTGTTAAAGATGACACGAGATGAACATGTAAAATCGTCTCGTTTACGTATGTATCGTTTGTCTTGTTCTTTATACTATCTCCCTTGTATGGAATGCGTGATGGGGGCTATGTAACTGCTTTTAACTTATCCTAATTTGCATGGAACACACTTCCGAATAACCGTTCATGTTTTTCGATGCGTAATTTCTCGGGGTGGCTTGCGTAGGCACGTGTGATTAAAACAGAAACTCATGCTTATTGTGCAACTGAGGATGCTTTGTAGTGAATTACCCTCCGTTGGAATCTTTACAGAATATGCCCTCACATAATCTAAATCCAAACACATTTACTAAGTTAGCCGATGAATTGTTTAAATATGAATTATGTAATAAAATGGGTACTTCTTGAAAAATATTATATAAGAATTTATAAATTCGTATAAATAATAATTTTAAGATTTAGAAGTTAATTTATAATTTAATTGTTGAGATCTTAATTAATTCTTTTTAGCCAAATTAATTACACTGTTATGACTTAATTTTATCGAATATATTTTATTTAGCAGTCGTAAATACAGACAAGTTGCTGAAAATTGCAGAAGTAATTGACGCGGTTGGTAATTTTTGTTTTCTGACAAGGGCATTTTCGTCCATCAATTTTCCAAGTCGTACATTTGTCATGGGATACTAGTATAAATAGCAGAGTATTCGTCTCAGAACTCATAACTCAGTCCATTCCGATTTCCAGGAAATTTACAAACCCCATTAACGTCAACGTTGATCTTCGTAACTTTGTATTAATCAACAAGCTTCCTCCATTTTCCGGTGAATTTCCTTTTTATTTCACATTCAATTTTTTTATTTTTTTTGTTTTTTTAATTTTCTCTGTTGATCATTTCATATCCGTGTGATCAACAATCGTAGCTATTTATTGCTCTGCTGTTTTTTTTTTTTTTTTTCATAATTTCCGATTAGGTTTTCTAGGGTTTGTGAAACTGTTTAATTTTTCTCGACTCCACTGAAATTCTGAAGTTGCAGGCATATATTTGGGGTAAAATCAAGTCTATGTTGGACTCAATTTGAGTTGATATTGTTTGTTTCCTTCAAAAAAATTATACTTCATTGAAATCTGTTATATTTTGTGGTTTTAAATGATTTCTTATTTTTGGGCGATTGTGTGTAAATTGTAATAGGTGAAAAGCTTTGGGTAAAAGGAAAATGGAGATGGAGCAGGAATTGGAATGGAAAGCAGCGCAGAGCACTGAGATAAATGTGGACCTTGTCTCGGCAGCCATAAGGCAGCTCAAGTTTCTTATGGCAGTTGATCGGAAACGTTGGCTCTATGAAGGGCCGGGCCTCGATCGGGCCATTTACAGGCAAGAAATAATCTATCTTATAATTGGTTTTATTGGATGATGTATGCAATTTTATGATGATGAATCTTGAAGATTTAAAATTGAGGCTCTTATTGTTATCACCAGGTATAATTTTTATTGGCTCCCCTTGTTGGCAAAACATTCCGAATCCCGACTTTTAGACGGCCCGTTGGTCGTTCCTTTGGACTGTGAATGGGTTTGGCACTGTCACAGGCTCAATCCAGTATGCTTCCC